GGGGAGGGTGTATGCAATTTTTGAATGTTTGAAGGAAGGGGTCCATTTATCTTCCAATTTCCTACTTCGGGGGAGGTGTTTTGAGCAATAACCAGGGTTTGTACGGGTCCTGGAAAACCTGGAAAGTCATGGAATTTCAATATTCCAAAATCCAGGCCTGGAAATCCTGGAAAATCAATTTTAGTCATGCAAAGTCATGGAAAAATTGAAATTTCACATAACATTAACAAAGTATTTTACATATTTCAATTTACCAGTCATAATAATATGAATTGTTGTTATAACGGATTTTTGCCATAGCCAAGTGAACTTTGTTCTTTTATAATATCTGTTATATCCTTAAAATATTAACGAATTTCAGAAATTCCAGACTTCAGGTCATGGATTCTGAAAAAAATTGTCATGGGAAGTCATGGAATTTTAAATGGGAGAAGGTGTACGAACCCTGAATAACCCATTATCCCTACTCACAATAAATAAAATAAATACAATTTATGTGCAACTATCATATATTTAATTGTAATAATAAATAAATAATACATTTAATAACATACTTATTAGATATATAAACATACATATTAAGTTGATCTGGTATTTTACATGCGCTTATTATATTTGTCCCATGTCGGCAAAGCAGTCATTACAAAAACACTTTTTTCTCTATTTTATAAATTAATTATTGTCAAGTATGAACGCTAACAGATAGGCCAATTTGGCCTATAATAGAAAAAATTCGCTACAATCGTTCTCAGACCTTTTATACAACTTGTACCGCAATATGTTTAGTCATAGCTAGACAGGTTACACTGCGCAACAGTTCATGTAACTTGTCTCACCATTATTGTATAATTAGCCTTTCTCACGATGACGAATATCCGCCATTTTTGGGTGGCATCTAATTCTCGTTAACCAATGCAGACAATTAAAACAATGTGAAAAGCAATTTTTCAAAGCAAATTTAGCATCATTCGTCCAAAAAATTATAAAAAGTCGCTGTTATGTGGACTTATCACGCAGACTTCGGCTGAAATGCCACCCAAAAATGGCGGCGTGAGAAAGGCCAATTGGATGCAACTGCACTGGGCCATAAAGAGCGTTAGGTCTGTTCATTTGTAGCCTGCGAACAGGCTCTCAAGCTGAATTGAGAGCCTGCATCGATGACTAATGAATTTGAATATCTGTCCCGTAACGTTCGTTTTTCCAAATATGGAATGTCTATCCTTATATGGTGTTGTTTACAACTTTCGTGCAAACTAAATTTAGACCGTGCAAACTAAATTTAGACCGTACAGTTTATACTGTTTTTCGAAATATAAGATATTCAAGCAAAAGTTCAAATGTTTTAAATACTGTTTTCTCAAAACAGAACATTTCGTGCTTTGAGGTAAGATGGCCAAGACCAATTTGATCAGTTAATGTGTTTTTTATGCATAATGCTTCAGTAGTTGACATATATAGAGCTCAGCGGAAACATATAAATTATAGCATCTGACCAATGAGAATTTCACGTCACGATTTGAGACGCAGATATTCAAATTCATTAGTCATCGATGCAGGCTCTCAATTCAGCTTGAGAGCCTGTTCGCAGGCTAGTTCATTTGTGACCGGGAACTCGCTCGTGCATGGTTCAACCCCACAATGGTTCGACCCCACAAGAGTCGAATCGACGCCAAACGAAATCATGGTCACATGCGCGCGGATCATATGAACAGGCCCTTAAATAATGAAATAAATTCATGCAATGTAATGGTCCCATCAAAATTAGTATGTACACAACGGCGTTGACCTTCGATGAATGCGCTATAAAATTACTTTGAAATACTTGTATGTTGTTTTGGGGACGAGCGTACGAAAGTATTTGACTATTTCTAAGCTGGATTTCCACTTGCAAGAAAAATGTCGCTGTCGCAATTTTTTGCTCAATTTCTTTCGAATTGTGAGCGGTCAAGCATAGAGAACTGATTTATTCGGATGGTCTGCACAATTCAGAAGAAATCAAGCGAAATATTTCGAGGACGAACTCCTCCCTTAGAGTCGAGTAATCCGACCGCCAATTTCAATTTTGAACGAGAGATAGTTGTACATTATGGCCCAATGCAGTCACGTGGTCGATAGACAGGGTTAATCTATAAATATCCATTATTGTCCTTGATTTACTGACAGGTTTCCTCAACCTCTGTCTTATTACAATTCTCGCATTCGACTCTACAGCACCAAACAAACTTGCAGTTGCATTTCGATTTCTTCGTGACAAAAGTTCTCTTGTGAGGGCGACCACAACACATGGTGTCGCAGCCATCGTTACCGTGGGACGTGCTGTTGCATGTACGGCCAAACGTGCCCATTATGCCCATCGGAAGGTTTTGTGCACAGAAATTCTCGGATTTGCTGAAGTATGTGAGCTTGTTGTCCAGCTGTTCTTGAGATTTTTCCCTTTTTGAGCGGTCTTTATCGTACAGCACGTTTGTAGTCTTGTTCCATTGCGATCGGACCGAGTTTTGATAGAGCTTCCAAATTTGTTCACCGACTTTTGTGATATCGGGCGTGACATACCAGCATGTTCGGTATGTGCATGAGTCCGACTTGCCGTGACATTTACACTTTTTCACCCTGAGTTGACGGACAACCTGATGGAAAAACAGAATAAACTTTTAGCTTAGATAGACAATAATAGGTTGCATGGTTTTGCTATAACTGTATGAGTACTATATCGTACAGGTAGTTATCGGAATAAGTAAATGATGTTAATGTTTCCACTATATGCGCTTGTCTTCTATAATTCTAGAATTAAGGGATCGCACTTCTATAATTCTAGAATTAAGGGATCGCACGCTATCACCATTTGAAAGATGTGATCACAATTTGCTGCCCACGTGACACCCATTGAAAACCCACCATATGATCTGTACTGTTTATCAGATTTTCAGACATAAATTTCTGTTTTAATGCGTTTGATATGGTTAATTTTTCTGGTATGCATAGTTATATATCATATGCAAGAAGTATATTTAAAATATATCTTTGTTAGCATAGAATATGTTCTATCGTTATAGTATAATATATACCAATATATTATGTGGTATACCCATCCCCTTCCTCAATGGGGAAAATATGAAATTATATAGCACTTTTCTATAATTTCGACCAGTTGTCCGTCTTCCTATAGTGGCGCGCAAAATATGCAAGGTAATGTCGCGTGCTTGATGACTGGAAAGATTTTCAAGGTCACCTAAAGCCCGCAAACCGCAGTTCTCACATTAGAAGGGAAACGGGACACGGCGTTCCCTGATTTTGAGGTTTGGCAATGTCTTGCTCAGCGGATAGAGGACTAACGGCCTCGAAAAGTTGCGATATCCGGTATCAATGACCTTGCTATCGTAAAGACATATGGAATGCCCATCAATGATCAAAACCATGGCCGTACTATTGAGCGGCCTCCAGAAAGGTTTGGCAATGTCTAGTAAACGGATGGCGTAAAAATTTGCTGAAAAATTGAAAGATCCGGCAATAACAAGTTACGTAAAGAATATAATGAGATATGGGAGAAATTTGAATCGTTAGCTTAAAATCGCCTAAAATTCAATTAAGTTAAACAATTTTTTATACAAATTGACTTGAGGTATTCAACACGTTGCACAACCCTCTGTAACTTATAATGATTATCAGTTAGAGACAGACTTGTATAGTTCCTTAGTTTTTCAGCCTATTATCAAACGAGCATTAGAATTGACAAGCGAGTGTTTGTACGAGAATTTCGTCCACTCTCGCTTGCCTGGTCAAACGATAACAAGAACGGTTGGATATTCCTACAAGAACGGTTGGATATTCCCAAAACTCTCGTCGACTCTTATCAAAATTTGAACCAACTCAACGTTGGTGAGAATGTATGGGAGTAAGTTGGTAAATGTCAATCTACAACAGGTCGACCATTCAGAATTTTTAAGTGCTCTCGTGCGCATTGATTCACGCATGCGTATGCAAGGTACACGTCATGTGACCCAATCTTTGAAATTTGTTTGGATGCAAAAGATAGTTGATGAGTTTATGAATTTTACACATTGCGCAAATACTACTGCAGTTATATATAGAGAGGTCAACTGGGTCTTACCTTTCTTCCGACCTCTTGGTTGTGGCTCTTGGTCTTCCTAGCGTGGTTGTTAATTTTCCTTGGATCCATGAAACGTTTTGTGAAATGTGAACCGTATTGGAAATCATCTGCACAACCGTCCCAACTGAATTTTCCGGGCGTTTTGGCTTTGCGGCGTGGGTTCTTGGGATGATCTCCGCACCCGCACTGTTTGTAATTCCCCTGCGCACACGACTTCGCAATCTCCACCATCACACTTGCTGACGTCAGCGCCTGTACGAACGCCGTCTCTCGGGAACCTTGAATGAGAGAAATATTCTGTGAATCTCTGGTTACAATGTATTATATCTATACAGCAAAATATCTCGAAAACTTAAGTAACATCTGGTTATATTTGACCAGGACTATGTTAGGTGGATAAATAACCATGGGTCGTATTTGAATAATAGGCCGTACAGCAGCTTTTCTAGTCACCACTGAACCGCTGGAATTATAGTAAGTTTTACAAAAAGCAGGACAACAAAAGTACATAGGGCCACCTGGCTCATGTAAAACTGAGCAAATAACCAACTTATATTTGAAAAAAACATATATAGGAATTGCTCAATCAGCAACGGAGCAAAGAAAATTAAGTTATTAACAAGTTTTATGTGGAGACGAGGTCAAGTAGAGCGGTGCAAGAAACGTCAATTTAGGCTGGACCATCTTGAAGTATTAGCTTTGTGTTATAATTTTAAATATCTGCCACCCACCCCTCCCTTCCTCACAGGATATCTAAAGGTCTACCTTAGCCCACGCAATTTAAGAATCGAGATGCGAATCAACACATTTCTGATGAAGTGAGCCTAAGATTATTAAATAAGGGCAAGTATACTCGACAGTCGCGACAAATCAACTGCACATATGGAAAATTTTGCTGACGTATTATTCTTTGAGACATTTAATAAAATCATTCCAAAGTGGAAAGGTGGTCGATTCAATTGTCAAACTAATACAACCATAACCTGCGCGACACAACTAGATAATAAGGTTTTTATTGCCATGGACCTGACATTAATTACAGATTAATGATTCGAGACAATTGGGTGCCGTGTCGAAATATAAGTGCATATTTATGAAATTTTAGTATAATAAAGAACCTACATTACAATTTAATTGAAGTTATCATTAAATCATATAATGCTCCTTTTTTGGTATTTCTTATCATTAGGACTATATCATAAAATTCCCCACGATAAATTTTATATCAAAAGGAATTTCTTAGGTTATACATTTCAATGTACACATTTTATGAAGAACCACGCCTTGATAATAAGGAATAAGGACAAGATCTCCGAAGTCCGAAAAGCCTTTAGCTATATATTATTAGTAAACAGAATTATCCGAACAAATATGCCAAGTGTTAAAGATTATAAGAGTTTGGTCAAACATGATACAGGCAATTCATTTGTTTTTTCTGCGAGAAGTCGGAGATTTTCTATCGCAATTGCGTGAATTTGTCTGTTCGGCATATGTGGCCGAAAGTGAACACATCCATCCACACCGTACATTATCATGCTTGGTGGCCAGTCGTATAATGAGTGATTTCCCAAATAAAGAGCAGCTCATGCAATATATGGAGAAACGTGGAGACGTGTGAAGGACTGGGTTATGTCGTGTCTCCATTAAAGTCTCGTTGTTTACATATTTCGTAAAGACTTGATTAATTATGCTGTCATGTTGTCATTACGACTGTGACATGTGCAATGGTGTTATTGGTGTATGCTATGTTTATGGTATGTTCGGAACGAGCGTAGTGATGAAATAATGCAAACAATTTATTTTCAATCATGCAGGAAGCAAACGATACTTGAACGCCTTTACATCGAATTACTTAAGCTATAATGCAGTTTCTTAGGCGATGTTTAGACGTGATCCCAATCATGTGCAAACTCATTGCTTGAGCATATATGCATGCATTGGACATGAAAAAATCGACAGTTGAACTTGGCCTTAATAACATGCAGAATATGTTCTGTCGAGAGGGTTTATAATTCCAAGGCATTAATCCTCTTTTTCATTCGTCGCACAAGTCGTCAACTCACAAGGTCTCTGCGAGTGCTTTTAACCAATCACAATGCTTGACAGTTTTTTTTTAATTAGATGCACAGTTTTTTTTAATTAGATGCAAGAACTTATTGCACGAAATCTGACGAGTATATAATTATGCCATAACTTCGTAGATTAGCCTGCTCTACTTATACCAGGAAATATTTTTGCGCTTCTAAAGATCCGGGGTCACGGATCAAAACGTTAAACATTATCCCAATAGAATAGTCACCTCAAAACAATTCAATCAGTTGCGCAAATATCTGTGGTTAAATAATTGATAAAATTAAATCTAAAATTATATGTATCTATAATGAACAGTGGGCGAAAATTTCTTTCACCACTAATTTCTTTCACCACGTAGTCCACGTAAATTTTTAAATTTTCCAAAATTACGTATCGATCAGTATAAATGATTCTGCTTGTACATTAATGGGGATACTGATTTAATTTACATTCTAAGTGCGGTGTTTTATCGAGTGTATAGATTTATTAATTATTATTATTTATTAATTATTTTTCGCAATTTTTGCAAACGTTAGGGAAAATACCGTCAATGGTTTTAAGTAGATAAACTGTTGATGGAGAATATTTTCGGCGTGGCTGCCTGGTTGTTAACTTTATCAGTGAAAACTGATGATTTTCGCTACTTTCAAGGAGAAGAAAATATTCCTTTCCATGAAGGGAATGATGCATGTGATGATAAATCAATATATAATCAATCGATCGATTGAACAAAAAATATTTGTACTGTTTAATACAAAATTCATAATTTACCTTTGAATGCCATATATGCTATATATGTACTTATATTGGTATGATAGTTAACACCATATACATTTTTGTCAACGGATGTATGGTATCATGTTAGCCTATTCGGGAATTGACTCGGTTACTTAGGCAGTTTAAACGCGCGAATTGGCTAATTTGCGAATTGAATGAAATATCCCTATTAAATAATCAACGCTCTTTCACTTTGCCTTATTTTCTGAAATAACAAATCGCATATTTTGACCCTGAAGTCAGCTGTCCCGGCGATGGTTCTGGAATATACCTTGGTCCTTACAATGGCATACTATATTCCCTCCGTGCAGCTGGAATGAGTTATTGCAAAAATAGTGTACCAGTCTGAAGGAGCCTTTGACCTCGTATTATTGACTGGATTATTGGTAGCCGGAAGGATAAATTCTGTTTATATATACCATACATCATCGGATTTTTTTTACAATGTCACAAGTGGAAAATATCTTGCAAATGGTTAAAGAATACGTTACTTGAATATTTGGAACAGCCTCGAAAATATGTCACAATACTGTCAATAGCGAGCTTAAAACAACATATTATTTTCTCTGTAGGAAAACAACTCTTTCTTTCCAAAGGCGTGCAGAGAGCGGCATTAAGGACAGCCTTGTTTGAATACCACAACAGTTAAGCTATTATAGCACGAAAGGTCAAAACTACACACCTGTTGTTAACCGGTGGTGAGTTTTGTTTTATTAAGTACAAGGACTGTGTGTTAATTAAGAAATGTTACGCCGTTTGTTGCGAGCACAATTGCTCATGCAATTGTTGATTTGCCCACCATGGACTATTCTCAAGAGGGTCTTGTATTTTTCGACAACAAACTCACGAGTAGGTAAAGCACGCGATGCTTTCATAGCTTTCCCTTTAAAAATTGTATGCATTCTTTTATGCTTAGAAATGTTCTCGAGGGAATGCGTCCAAAGTGCGCAAAAGAACCTTATTGAAAATAAATTGGAATTTAAATAAGTTTTGCGGTGTCACGTTCATTGATGAAATACGATCGATTGCAAAATAGCAAGCATCTGAGGGCAAGACAGACAGGAATGTGACACATACGATATTTTATATGCGTCTTAAAAGTTACCTGTTACTAGTAAAAACTTGATATTCAATAATACTTTGAAGTACGTAAACATATAGTGAGAGTATGCATAGCAACAGTAATGGATCATCAAGTGTTAAGACGTGGCCTATTTATTAACTGTGATTAAATGTACAAATTTCTACTCACAAAACACTCATTTAACACTTGTAATATACTTTAAAACACCGACACGCGAAATAGGATTGAAAGACATTTGAAGCTGTATACAATCTACTTTGAAAGGATATAAGCCCCTTGTACATATTTCTTAATTTTTTTCAGGGAAATGAAGATTTTAGAATTAATTTCCAAATAACTTATGTTGTATAGTGTTAGAAGATGTAAATTCTGTTCACAACAGAAAATTCGAGAAGATTCTGTCCAGAACAGCACGATTGCTATATGATTAAAATTTAAAACGGATATTCTTTTCAATTTTCTCTTTCCTATTGAGCGCCAACGCTCTCCCCTTGACAGGTAAAACCGTCTGGTGTTAGACAGAGTAAAATTATAAGGTATAGGGTGGATTAGGGCACAATGCAACTTAAAGGATTAACTATTAAACACATGAGTATATAGTCTGATTAACCCATTGAGGAGCACTATATCCCCTTGACGGGTAAAATCGTCTGGTGTTAGACATAGTGTAAAACAATAAAGTGCCTATACATTAGGGCGCAATACAATTTAATGGGTTAAATTATATAGAGCAAAGTTTATATCAATTCATTTACTCATATTAATCTATTTTAATTAGGCATTTATGATGCTTATAAAAGAACCATTCTGTTCACATTCGATCGTATTATTTTTAGAGTTTTTTTATGGCTATGTACTTGAAATCTTAGTATTTTTGCACCTCACAGGGGTCTTAGGGTCGCTGGCATTGGCACAATTAAACGGAAATTGGAATTCCGTTATATTTGATTGAAACAATAGCAACCAATGTTCGCTAGTTAGTCAATTTCGACACGTTATTTATTGCCAAATATTTGACGATGAAATAACGTAAAATAATAAAAAGGAGGTGTATTGATTGAAATAATACATCCGCGTAATCTAACATTTGGTGATTTATCGCGTTTCCGTCATGCTATTGAAAAAGTGTCAGAATTATGTACAACATGTAACAAACGCCGTCTCAGTGCACGACTGCATATAACACATGCGAAGGGAAATAGTTTAATATTTGCACACTCGACATTCAAATCGTGCAAAACAAAGACGCGGATATTTATAACAAATTGCATGCGGTTAAATATCAAATCCAATTTTAGCTTCAACCCCCGAATTTTTTCAACCACAAAATCTAAACATTTCTGTTTTGACTCAAGCTAGAAACTAATACTGTAATAGTTTTTAATAAATGAGAAATAAATAATGATTAAGTGAAGATTTGAATTCAATTTGAAGATTCAATTAATCACTAATATATCTCATTTATTAATTAAAAGGTCTTCTTGTGCAAAAATTTTGATACGCTTTAATAATATCCATTATCACGCAGAATCGAAAAGTGTCGATGTAGCTGATTTCAAAAGTGAAAGATAAAATGCATCGGTATAGTATATAAGTATACCGCCATTTTCAGTAAGTTTGTTGAAAAATTAATGTCACTATATGAATCTCAAAGATTATGTTTTTAATTAAAAAAGATGTCTCCGCCGATATTCCAAACTCAAAATATATTTTGTATCGATTGCAAGTACCACTTTGAAAAATTTCTTTGTCAGACACGAGTCGACAATTTTGTCCCCCGAAAGAACATTTCCGCTTATACAGGCAACGAATAAGCTGCAGATCCTTCCTGCCTTTTGAAAATTTTCAATGCACTATGTGCTTTGAGTGCACGTTATAAATTGCTTAGAAACGTGGACAGTTTACTGATAAGTAAACTGATTATAGATTATAGCCAGAGGGTTGGCTGTTCTTCACAAACAAGTGATGAATTAAAATTAATTACATTTCATTTATGTCTCAATTAATTCGGTGATTTATTTAATTATATCTCAATCTACGTTGTATAAGTGTAGTTTAGAAGTGTTATATCAATAATTGTATTTGCCATTATTTAGTATGGCCATTATTTCAAAAGTATGGCCATTATTTCAAAAATGGCAAATATTGCCATATTCTTGAGTTCTTCTTTTTTAAAATTTTAAATCACATTTTCAAAAGCAGATCGGAAGAGGATAATAAACATGGAGGCTTTTAATAGTTCGCAATATTATACTTAATCCCATTATATACAAACTCTGGGGTTTAATGATCTGAGGGATTACTATAGATTTTGAGGGCAAATCCTTTTGACAAAATGCCGCCATGCGCTTAAACTGGAAGTATAACTACGTTTTACTGTACAAATAATATATTGCGCGGTCGATCACCTTTTCGAAAAATCGTCATGCATCTTTCACAAATATCACATTATTATTCTATACTTTCAAAAGTTTACGTCCACACAATTGTATCCATGACACATCCCATGCATTCTCCCAAATGTTTAACCTCCTAAGGGAGTGTTCATTATTTATACCCGGGGTTGGTACCGAAGAGAAATGGGTTGGGTAAGCCATTTTTCTGGGGTATGAAGGGTTGGGTAAATATTTTTTGAACAAAGCCTATGGTTGGGTAAATTATTTTCAATACAAACCTTGAATTGAACAAAATACGAAAATCCTTTATTTAAAAAATGGATCATTCCAGGAAATATCCATTATTCCCCACAAAGAAAACTAAACTCCAACTCCCCATCCCCTCTGATTACAACAACGAGATATGGTAGGACTGCAGGAACTTGGACGCTTGGGAACATAATATGAACTTGTGAAGGTACAAATGATTATATTTGACATTCAGTTAGTGCACCAAATATGCATAGTACTGTTTATACTATAGTGCATGGCCTATAGCTTGTATAATAATATATGGATATGTATATGTGTAAAATATTTGTATAATTTTGAAATTGGGTTGGGTAAAATAAAAATCCAAGTCATGCAATAGTTGGGTAGGGAAAAAAATGGCTGACCGAAAGGGTGGGTGGTTGTTTTTTTTCTCTTTTCGATTAGTTTCTCTTCGGTACCAACCCCGGGTATAAATAATGAACACTCCCTAATTCATTTTATTTTGAATTTCATAAGAATTAATAATGTACACAAAAGTCGAAGAAACAAATGCTTGTTTTTTTCTTAAAATTTGAGCATACGTGCACTATATGTTCCCAACATATGACGCATGTGAAAAAAACTTCCTAAAACATTCCCACCATCTCAAACTGTTTCAAACACGAACTTCGCGTGTATCTTAATTCAACCTCATCATTTTTTAAACTCTTCCAAAAATTCCCTGTGTCGAAATCAACACATGGCTATATAGGTTCATTATCTCGACACGGCTGGACACAGGATCTATGACAACTATTCAGACCAAACAGTAATAATACAATGACTGCTGTATATTGTACGTCTATATTTAGTCCAACTCCTAGTGAAGAAGAACGGAAAAGACTTTAATTGTTTTGTAAAAGTTTTATTTGGGGAAGCTGGCGTGAGTTCGCCACAGGAGCCCAGGTTATTTTGTAGCCAAATTTAACGCTATCATTCACAAAACAACTAGTTGATTGAATTGCTTGAGAAACTAATTTGTCATGACTAGACAAAATATGTTTAATTGAAGTGCTTTTCGTTGCCACGTTTTATTAAAATAGAAGTATTTCAAAACAAGCTAGTATTATTTATGATTCCCATGACTTTGGCATGACCCACACCCTTGTTAAATTATATGGGTACTATTGTCACATCAGTCAGTGCATCAAATAAAAGCTTAGTTTTCGGTAGAAACTTGAAATTGTATTTGCATGTGAACTTCTGTCATCCGAATTCCAATCGAACGCATTCATGAACAATGCGTGCGGTAGAAAACGATCGACGAATAGTCAAATTCTTTCGTGCAGTAACGAGACTTTGCTGAAGTCATTAAAGTTCATATAGGTCTCTGTTTTTAGCACATTTGGTGCTTGAGCCGTTTTGAAGTCCTACTTGAATAATTAAGATCCTATAGGCGCGGTATTACCACACGCATTTTTTTACCGCATAATAAATGATTGCTTGTTGAATGATGTAGTATTTGCAAGTATTGTGACATGTTGAAAATTACATTGGAATTGGTTTATGAAATGTATCAATATTTGAGGCTCGAGTGTGACTGTGTCTATGAATTAGGTTTGTATGTGGTAAAACTGCGAGTCAATCAAGACGATATAATGATGGCATAGTTTATAAATGCATGCATGTAATTGATAGAGCTATTTATACAGTATGAATAAATTAGTTTTTTACCATATTCTCTGAACAAATATGTTGGAAAAATATTTTGGGAGAAATTACTGGATGCTTGTCTACTTATATTTGCATATATCTCATGTTTTACGTTCATGATTCTCATTGGAGAGCATTCTAGTAAATATCATACTTATAAACATGCACCATAATTAAACTTTCTACCTAAAGGGTAAATACTTAAAATAGTTGTGCTTTTTTATTCGCTTGCAAGCTTCAAGTCTGCGTTCAACACGAACCCCTTCTAGGATAAGGTCAAACCACACTCGAGTGCTTTTTAATTGGTTAATTCGCTCGCTGAAATCTCCTATGGGCATGGCTGGCGAGATGAGATAATTAAGGTGATTACAAAACTAGGACTTTTAGTAATGACTTGTTTCCTCTCATAAAGCATTAGCGTTTATTCACGTGAAGTACTTGTTGTGGCTCCATAAAGATCACAGGAAAACGTGAAAATATCGAAATCGGATCCTTTTGGGGATGAAAATTCTGCTTGCATGACATATCGTGATAGATTGAGTTCACAGCTGACGTGCGTTGCCACGCATTTGTAGAAATTTTCAACCGTGTGCTGACAGACATACAAGTAAACAGAGAACAAAAAATGAAAGACACAGGCAACATTGCTTTCTGTCATAAAACATAACATAGGGTAGCATGGTTTAAAGTCTATATAGTATATAGTATAGCCTATACCAGAGTAATGATGTAATGGGTACAAGGATGCTTGCATCGGGAAACAATTATGCATGTACACACATGCAGTAAGCGTAATCTATATATACGATGTTTATTCCCTATCATCAATTTTGATGTTGAAGAGGCCCAACTGTCAACTTTTGACATGCATAATGATAGAATGCTTTTCGAGAGATCTTATAAACATATATGATAGATGTTTTCGAGAGGTATAAATGTAAACACCGGCATACAAAACTGCTTTTTCAATTGTTATTCATAAAATCAACATATTTATTATTAGTAGTCGTGCTGTTTTCTCGTTTCATATTATTCACCTCCTTTCGGCGAGAAATTATTAAAATAAACCATTTAAAATATGGGCTACAATTACATGTTCAATTAGAACGCTCGACTTGCGACTTCGATTTTATAGTACAATCGTTCTTTCTGCATGTCGTGTCGGAAATGACCATGCCGTGTGCAGTTATATCTGAATCGAAGCGTTGATATTTTTGCTTTTTGCTCCTGTATACCAGGAGGAATACACTTGTCATCATTTAATATGTTTAAAAAAAATGGGCTTTCCAATTGAACTTAATCGCTGAAAGGGCCTTTTTAAGGATCCAAATTACGAACGTGGAAAGTAAAATGCTATAATTTGAATCACATGAGCTTTTATAGCATTTGGCATTTTAGTCTTATTTTATACGAGGCCAAACTCGATTTCTGATGAACCGTACGTGCATAGTTCCAAGCAATTGGATTACATAACGTTATCAATAACTTCCGACACTAATATCAGTTGACACTTGAATTACTTGCTACTATGCATTTCAATGGAACGTTTAAATCGCAATCAAATAAGGTTAGAAATTACAATTAAATAATGCCAGACTTACGTTTCTTGAGAATTCCGTTCTCAGCGAACACCTGATCCCATGTTAAAGGAGAACAATTCCATCGGTATGATTTGAACTGCCTTCTACACTCCGCCAATGCATTTTTTACGGCTTTCTGGACAACTTTGATCAAGTCGGGAGTTCGCGCGCACATGCTTCGCTGCTTTTTGTCGAACCATACCATTGCGCGACAGTATTTTCTAATATCTAGAGACGCTTTTGTTCTGTTTCGTTTCTTGTTCGTTCTATTCCCTTCGCTAACGTAAAAGGCACTAGACGAAAGAAAACAAGATAATTATGCGGTGTCGGCAGCAATATTGCAACTAGCCAACTATACAGTATACCTAAAATTTGAGAAAATACAATTCATTAACGTTTCGAGCGGATGCCCCAAAGCCCAGTATTTATACCACTCAACCGAATTCGTCCATATGATATAGAGTGAAATATAGAGTGAATGATTCCAAACCGCACAAGCAGAAGATTCTGCCCGCTGCCGTTGCTGGATTTCAAACCCGCGGACCCATGGCATGCTATTTCAACGCTCTTATAATTTAACAGAGCTGCATAGAAAATTATGAACTTGATACAATATCACAACATTATATAACACACGCAGAACTAATATAGACCACATATAGTTCGATACTGAATTGATATAAATGAGTATGTTTGTGATATTCAGTATAAAGTTCATAATTTTCTGTTCGCGCGGTATAGATTCATTCAGTCGAGGACATTTCCGACCTCCTATCATATTACCGAGTGAACAATATCACAACATATATAATATCATATATATACTTATGCTTAACCGGAAATATAACTCAAGTTTTATGTAGAGAAGTCATTATATGGCTTGTTCCTGAATGCATTTCATAAGCTCTTCATTAACCAAAATATTAAACAAATATTATGTTAAGACAAATATTATCATAGTTCAGTCGATGCCGTCAAAGGCGTTATGTACTATAAAGCATCCGTTATAAATATACCGTAAAAATAAGAATTCTTATGGCACTATAATGACATCGCAAATGTACATAGTAGCTATAGACTTTGCGCATAATCAGCATATAACGTTTGAGGTAAATTTGGAAACACATATAATATAATTGAAATAGTTCCTTGATGCGGCTTCACCAATTACCTTACTCTAATAATCAGGACTACTTATACGAGACTGCAGTCGGAATGTCTGTCCAATGCTAAATGATTTTGTTCATCATGGACCGGTACGGAACGCAGTGAACAGACGCATATACTAAAGACCGCGTTTATAGATTTTTCAAATGTAATATATGGTAACGGCTTAAGTCTTGTCATTCACAAAATTTGTGGAAATGTTAGTTAATTTTGGTTTAGCCACATTCATGCTAAGCGGGCTTCGTAGAACAGGCTCTATATAGTCATATTTTCCTGAAACGAAAAAGTTCATAATAAAGGTCATCGACACTTAAACCCCCTATTTCGTATTAAATTTGTTTTCAAGATATGAAAGATATTATTACAGCAACGAAAAGTAATATAGAACGAATTGTACAAACGGTTGTACATGTACAAAGGCCTAATTGTAACAAATAGCCACAATACAATTCAATAACTTAGAAGCAATATTTACGGATTAAAATTTAAGGACAGTTATGGCCTTTCATTTGAATGAAGCAATTTGTTTAAATTGTAGGAGGCGGTTATTATCAAACTTGTGTGCTTGCGGAACCCTTGATGAAAGTGACCGAAATTCGAAAACAAATCGGTCACTAATTGCTCTTCGTTAACAGACTCGATTTAAAAGACCAGGATTAGGTGTATACATAATTTTTATGCCATACCTCATACAGATCGCTGTGACCAGTAGAGCATGAAGGAATTTTCTTCGAGATGTGTTTGTATTCACGAACATGATGATAAGTTCTGAGTAGGTCTGACAGCGAGATAAGGTTCCTTGCCAAGTGCTCTTGATGAATGACTAACTTGCTCTTTATAGAGCTTTATAGCTTGTTATGTGCTGTGTGAACACCCACTCGCTCAGCAACCGGTAGAATGTGTACTGTTTGCGGTATAATATTTCCTCCCTCGCCCTGTTTTCCTGGACTGGTTAGTTGGGCTGGCTTTGGCTTTTTCCTTGCCGCGATGTGGTAAAGGCACTCTGGATCTGAAAGAGCAATAACGAGCTGTTGCCACTTACGAAGGCACTGCACGACTGTGGGCCATCGAAGACAACAGTGCATTTTAATAGCCGCGCGCTTGTAATTATATCTGCGCGCATGTGATTGGCTCGCGTGACTGCTAATAATGTGCGAAATGATTAAAGCAATCAAATACCCAATAACATGCTAGGCAAAACACTGGAGGGCTTCCCAGCAGTGCTGCATTTTAACAATCGACAGGTCCAAAACTGTCAGGGAGTTTAGTTAACGTTTCCGAGCGCGTTACCTTTATGAGATCAAGCTTCGAACGGAAAGTGATCGGCTCGACTTTCGTGCGGATTTCTAGCAGATTTTAACATCATCTAGTCTATACAACGATAAAGCAATTACACCGCTTAAAGACATGATTAATTAACAAGTCTCTTGTCCGAGGTGGAAATTAAAAAAAAACTTTCGGCTGAAATATTCCTGCAATGTGGCACGCTAAGTGACTAGACATTACTAGGTCGCTAAGGATTGTTCGATCGCAAATACTTCCTCAAGTTTGGGGGGTATACGTAATAATCGCAATATAATGGTAGTTTTGAACAGTAATGAGCCATAATATCCCACAAATAGACTGAATTCGAGTGATTTAATGGAATATATAAAAACATTTTAGCAATGTAAACAAAGGGAACGTTCTCGATACAAATAATTCCTTTGCTTTATAGTGTGAGGCTGATGTGTTGGTAATTTCAGTGACAATAATGACCCATAATATTCTTCTGGTAATTTGGCAAAATATAAAGAACATTTCGGATGTAGGAAAAAATTTTTTGAAACAAGTCTTAGAAATATTAAAGGGGCAGATGTACTTCACTTTATCATCTTCCTGTGACATAAATGAGAAAATAGATTGCAACATGTGCAAGTATATATAATAAGCACGTTTGACAGAAGTGTACCATTTGTACACAAACAGGGCACTCGTATACCATGAGTGCCGCCTATATCATCATATCTTCAATTAACTTTCAACCATATACACATCACAGTTTGAAATATTGTTTCATATAAGCTGTAATTTCATAATGTTGATCATGATTTCTTTTACGTTATAATTCACGATGATATGTCCAAAACATATTTTACCGAAGAAGGCATCAGTTAATGAAATGGTAAAGTGAATATGATTATAGGTTAACAATATCTGCAACACATGTATAGCTTTACTAAAGATGGGATTTCAGTAAATTGTATACTCTTTTATAGACATTGATGATTACATAGAATTGAATTATATTTGTACGTACATCTGCTTTCTATCTTCGCGATTTGATTACAACAAAATCCAGTCCTGTCGACTGACTCAGTCGCAACTGAGTGAGATAAGAGCACTTTCAGCTGGTTAACCCTATAGGCTATACCATGCCCAAAGGCCATCTCTAAGCCGTATTGCCGATTCCTTCTAAACTACCAGCGCTGATAATGATAACTAATGACCATAACTGGATCTCTAGGGGGGACAATGAAGAAGTGATAGTACTATCCATACTCCATAGAGCTATTTATAAATAAAGTTAGTTAGTTCCCCTTTGTATGTTCGACAAAGTTCTTGCGATGCAAAGCTTGTCATTGAAACACTAACGCTTCTTTATTCCGTACGCTCGCGGTCATTATATGAAAATCAACATGCATGCATATGGTCATCGACTATACACAGCCACAGGCATATTTGTGCGACTGAATAACGCTTTGCTACATGCGTCCACAAACATGCACTAATATTCGTTTTAAATGAATACCATACATTTGTTGGTTTTTACTGTGGTCGTTATACACTCCCCGTTGCGCTCTAATATTGTTTTTTATTGGACTTCAAGCGTGTTTGCAGCAGGGTTTTCCATGTCCATATCCACTTGACAAAAAATCCAACTGTTATGCCACTTGGGTTCCGCGACCTCGCTGACAGGCAGCAATTGAAATAGTATAAATGAACAACTCTTCCAGAATTGGTAACTTAGTAAAAAAACAAACAAGCTAACAAAACAGTACAGGCCTAATGTTTGTGTAGGATTATTATTTTGTGAAAACAGTCGCTTGCCGATGATAGATCTTACGCGTACTGTTTCAGTGAATTTGTTTGGAAGAAAGATAAGTTGAACTGTTTATCTGAGGGATTTTAGGTAGAATTCGAAGAGATTCATGCTTAATCACAATTAAGCTGTATTTTCAGTATAGGGACTACGGCCTAAATATAGCGTCGAACCGGCGATCGTGAGTTTATAATATCGATCTGAAGTCTGAAGAACAGCGAAGCAAAGCCGAAGACGAATTTAGACAACTGAAGTTCATTTGTCAACGCGTATATACCTTGACAAAGCGTATGACAACGTGAATTTATTGTAAAGACACGAAATCACTTCGAAATTCTTCTCATAGTTATATGATGCGCGGGCATGCGCCACAAATTAAACGCGGTGTGAATCACACAGACATTGATAATGCAAAGCTCCTTGTATACTATTTCGGAGTCGATTGTCACAGAAAGAGTTCTTGGAATCGATCGAAAGTTCATATTTCTCGCTGTTTCCGTTTCAATATGTTATATTAAAGAGTTTAAGATTTGTTTTAATACCACTACGAGAACAACGTTAATAAGTTCTTCTTGCTCAGTATTGGGATTGCGACCACAAAGTCAGTGACTGGCACGCAAATGATGACGAATCTTGTAATGGTAGTTTTGAGCCAACCTAATTCTATTATCGTAGTCTGATTTGCAGAAAGCGCCCTAAATTTGATGTCGTGACGAGAGAATCCGGTTTATTGTAATTATTATATATAGAAATGGTCTTACAATTTTCCCACATGGACGCACTTATGGCATGTCTTATTATAGCTGTCACCAACTTACTCTATCTGCTTGGAATGTCACAACTTTTTCACTAGAAAACGTGCTTCGGTAAGCATTTGTTCACGCACTTATAAGGAAGGGGAGGGGG